TAAACAAGCTGAGAGATTCCCAGAATGAATCAAAAAAGGACAAAAAGATGGAAAATCTGAGATAAACAAAGGTTAGAGAAATAGAGAATAAATAAATACAGAGGTTCTGCCATTTGCCTCTTAGTATCTTCAAAAGAAGGAGAGAGAGAGAATGAAAGGGATAAAAGAAATAGTGAGGGAAATTTTCCCCAAGATGAAGAAATATAAATCTATGCTAGCCAACCTGTGTATAAGATGTAATAAAGTTATTTTTTTCAGTCAAGGATTAGTGAGGGAAATTTTTCCCCAAGATGAAGAAATATAAATCTATGCTAGCCAACCTGTGTATAAGATGTAATAAAGTTATTTTTTTCAGTCAAGGATTCATAAAATTGACTTCTCTTCAGAATAAGGATTATAAAAAAAATTAAAAAGGAGGAAAATATAAGATATAATGGAAGTAACTCAGGAATATAAAGAAGGAAAACCCCAGGACGACATTTGTGCAGCAGATCCAGAAAGCAACTAGTTTATATCCAGGCAGAAAGTCAGAGGGCTCTGGGTCAAATATCTTTAAATATAAAGAAGACTCCACTGAGCAGAAAGTGGAGTTAAACACCTCAGTTAAAAATATGGGTGATCTTAGAAAAATCATAAAGATGTTCCCTGGGTTTATTTAAAAAAAAAAAAAGGAAAGTCAATTAGAAATTCAAGGACAAAAAAAAAAAAGCTGTATAAGAAAGTTAGGGTCCAAATACGAAGCTAACTAAATTGTGGAGTGAATTTGAGCAACCGATAGATTCTAAGAAAAGATAATCCATTTAATTTTGATGCTCTGAAACATTAACCTTTAAGTGTGTAGGTTTAGTAACATAAGATCAAATATTACTTTCCACAAGTTCAGAGTACTTGACTCTGCAATGAAAGGCATTTATATTATCATCACATTGTAAAAGGTGTTTATTCATTTCCAATTTCTGTTCTAAACCTATTAACAAACTGTAAATGTTATAAACCTTGTGATGTATAGAAGTTCGGAGGCAGAGGGAAGCAGAAAACACAGAGAAAAATGCAGTCATACTAATTTCCACATCTTCAAAAGTACCAAGAGACACTATCTAAAGATAACAGACCAAGAGATAAAAGTTAAAGGTCATATTTAATGTATAGGAGTAGTTGCCAGAAGAACCACAAATAATAAACGTTAGTTAAATATGGGGGTGGAACTTTAAGTAAGATGATTCCTTAACTTTCAAAATAGAGCATAAGTTAATACTTTCTATATATGATAAATAAAAAAGTAAAAGTATAAAAATGTGATTTAAGTTATGGAAGTAACAACCAGAATAATTGAAAAGAGACACAGTTAAAAAGTGGATTATTCTGTCAGCTCAGTTGGTTAGAGCATGGAGCTGATAACACCAACATCCAGGGTTCAATCCCTGTACCAGCCAGCCACCCAAAAAAAAGTAAATTATTCTGGGCGGTGGAATGAGAAGTGGAAAGTCTGAAAAGAAAGACTTTTATTGCCTTTCTGTATTGCTTAGCTTTGTTGTTTTGTTTTTTGTATACTTGAGCTCTAATTTAGTAATGATTTTTTAATGTGTTAAAATATTAGCGCAACCACTGAAGAATAGAAAAGGGTCTATAACTTCCAAAACCCAATATGGAAAAAATGAACCAAAGAAACTCAATCAATGCAACAATATTCAGGAGAATGGGGCAGGGGGATGGGGGTAGAGGAGGTGGCAAAGAACAGGGAAGTGTGGTAAACGGAAAACATAAAGTATGATGAAAGAAAAATGCAAAACTTGTAGAAGGCAAATTGATCACAAGGTAAATCTACTGTACTGAAGGAGAGAAACATATTCATTTAAAAAATAGATTTACAAAGGGTTTGGTAAAGGATTTGTATATACTATGTATGTCACGTTAGTAGCAATAAAATTAAATTGTGAATTCACGGAGGACCTTGAAAAAAAAAAAAGACTTGAGAAGAAGAGAGAGCAGAGGATTGTATATTCTGGTACCACAGGAGTGATGTGAGCCAACACCATGACAGGGGTTCAGCCAGGTGCCACAGGGACTCCAGCCATGACTGAATGGGGCCAGAATCATATCTGACCACCCTGTTAGTGTTATGAGCTGAATTGTGTGCCACAAAAACCTACATGTCCAAGTCCTCACCCCTGGTTCCTCAGACTGGGACTGTACGAAAGAGATAATTAAGTTAAAATGAGGTCATTAGCATTAGCTCTAACCCAATATAACTGGTGTACTTCTAAGAAGAGAAAATTTAGACACAGACATGTACAGGGAGAAGACCATGTGACAAAACAGGGGGAAGACAGCTATCTATGAGTCAAGGAGAGAGTACTCAGAAGAAACCACCCCTGCCAACTCCTTGATTTCAGGCTTCTAGCCTCCAGAACGGTGAAAAAATAAGTTGCTGTGGTTTAACCCAACCAGTCTGCAGCAGTTTGTACAACAGCCCTAGCAAACTCATACAGAGGGTCTCTTCTTCTCAATAATGATATTATAATTAGAAAAGTCCCACGCAAATGAAGTGAGCAGACTGAACAGAAATTATTGGCAGAACAGCACATGGTCTAACCAGTTCCATCTTAGCAGAAGATCTGGGGAGAAGTTTGGGAGGTTTTTGAACAGTAGGCAAAGGGTAAGAGTGAGTGATGAGCTTGGGGTACAAATTTAAGGGACTGGGCTAAAGCTGGGAGCTCAGGAAATTCTTGGCTGCTGCAGCTTTATTCTACCTTTCACTGGTATGGTCATAACTTACATAGAAAATGCTGATTAAATTTATTGCTTGGATTTAATGCCTTACTCTCTTACCTGATGACCATTGATCTGTGGAAGGAAACACCAGCGCGAGTAACAGCGAAGCTCAGTCTTCTGATGGCTTTGTGAACTGGCTTCCCAGTGGTCGGACAGCTCACTGCCTTGGTTGCTTTTCTTATCCCTTGCTGTTGCTGAGAAAGACTGGACCTGATTAAAGAAATTAGGGTATATAGAAGGAGTCAATAAACTCCATCAATAATCTCCAATTAGAATACAAAGACTCAAAGTGAGGACAGACAAATAGATCAATGGAACAGAATAGAGTACACGAATAGACCCACACATTTAATCCACTTATTTTCAACAACAGTGCCCAGTCAATGCAATGTAGAAAAAGAATTTAACAAATGATGCTGGGACAAATTCAATATCCATATAAGAAAAAAATTTAAAAGAAACTCCACCTCTGTCTCACTCTACACACAAAAATTAATCTGAAATGGATCATAAACCAAACTACAAAAGGCACAAAGTCCCACTTTTTAAGATGGCCAAAATACTTGAACAGAAACTTCATTTGTCAGTAAGCACATGAAAAGGTGCTCAATATCATTAGTCTTCAGGGAAATGCAAAAGAATTGTCTGACAGTCTGTTTCTTTGTTTTTAAGTTCTTGCTATCAAGCTATGGGCTATAAAAGACATACCTAAAACAAAAATAGTTCCCCAAAATGCAAAAAATAAAAGGGATAGAAAACAAGTACGTTCATTCACCATTGTTAAGAATGTTAATTGGCACAGATTTTTTGGAGAGCAATTATCAGAATTTAACATCATTTACATGCAGTGACATTTGACCTAGCAATACCAATTTTAGAAATAACCTAAACCCATGTGCACAAAGGTGTACATACAAAGGTGTAGATTTGTTCAGCAGAGTAAAAATTTGGAAGCACTCTTAAATGCCCACTAATATGGGGATGATTAAATAAGTTATGGTGCATTCACATAATAGATGTAATTGTTAAAATAACAAGGTAGACTTGTATTCACTGACGTGGAGAGACCTCCAAGATATATAGACCTACTGTTAAGTAAAAAGAAAAAAGTCACTGAACAATGTAAATGGTCCTATTTATATTATTAAAGGCAAGTGGATATGTACATTTTTGTAAATAAAGGCAAAGGTAAATTTCTGGAAGGATACACATGGGAACTTAGTGTTTATCTTTGTGCACATGAGGGATGGGGATACATTTCATCACTTTTTAATCTATTTCCATGTTATTTAAATTATTTGTAACTAGGATGAATTCACTTATTACCTATGTAATTAAAAAAATAAAACTGATTTTAAAATTAATAAGTATTGGGTGCTGGCCAGTTGCTCAGTTGGTTA